AGAGCAACACAATCCACTTCTTTTTATACAAAAGTACTTCCAATGTATTCTTTTATCTGTGTTTTTGTGCAATGTGTATACATGTGTCTGCCGTGTGCGTACAGGTGTATGAATGCCATGGCACATGTGTGGAGATCAGAGGATAATCTCGAATGTTGGTTCTAGCCTTCCACCTTGTTTGTGGCAGATCTTTTGTTCATCACTGCATCTTCCAGGCTGTCTGGGGTGCAAGCCTCCGGGGATTTTTCTTGTCTCCAGCTCCCATCTCACTGGGATTATGGATTCCTACTATGGCCCAGCTTTGTGTGGGTTCTGGGAATTCCAACTCAGGTCCCCATGCTTGCAAGGCAAGAACTTTACCTAACACAGAGCCATCTCTCCAGTCCTTTCAAAATATTCTTTGAATATTTTGATACATCAGCCTGTGGTTTCTTTTACTCCCTATAGATGTGAAAAGGGAGGAGGTAAGGAGGATGTGGTGCTTCATCATTTCCAAATACACAGATTGATAGTCCATGAAAACACAGTCAGATGCAAAAGAAACTCAAATGGACTTTTCATCTATAATTAACTCATTTCACTGTGATCTTGACCTCCCACTATCTAAAGAAGAATGGCCCCCAAAACATCATTCTGAGGAAAAGGTATTTGCCAAAACCCTCAATAAAATTTAAATACACACCTCCTAGGGAGTCAAGTGTCATCCTGAGCAGCAGGAGCACAGTGGAAAGCTTCCATTCTCAGACTCAAGACAGCAATTAAAAACAACAAAATTTTTGGCCTTCAGTGCTGAAAATGAAGTTTCCTAGGAAACCAACACCCCAGGCACAAATATTACTAAATACAGTCCCCCAAAACGTTGTGTTAAAAATCCTACAAAAGTATTTAGAAATCAAGGACTCTTCAAATTATTCAAAAACAAGAGCACAACAAGCAAACAAAACTAACAGAAAAGGAACAAAATAAACCTACCTTCCACTGGCGCAGACCTCCCTTCCAAACGGGAACAACTTCAGGAGTAAAGACCGTTAACCCCACCAAAAAACCCCAGAGCATAGTAACAAAAATAGCCACACAGCCCCTGAAATCCTCAAACCAAGGGTTTCTATCATTGGTTTTTCTTTTTATTGTTTCCTTTTGATTTAGACAATTAATGGAAAAGAGGAAGGAATAGAGATTTTGAACTTGAATTTCCAAAATATCTGACATAGGCTATCTTAAAGGCATATAACTACGACATTAAAATATACTTAATATTTAAAATGAAACCATTAAAGTTTACCACATAGACTCTCTTTGAGAGTGAGCTAGAATTCTGTAGAAAATGCTAAGAAACACTTAGAACGACTACCTGAACTATTGTGCGAATTACTCATAAAAATTAATTGTATATTTGTCCACTAGCTTCAAGTAGCTACAAAAATGCTGTAACAACCACTTACAACAGGATCAACAAAACGAAATGTTTCAGAATAAACTGAACAACATATGGAAGAACCACGTGCTAAAAATGGCGAAGTGGAGATCAAAATGAATGATAGCTCTAAATAGGAAAACAATCATGTTTAGGAATTAAAATCTCAATTTTTAAGTTGTTAGCCCTTCTCAAATTTATGTGTAGATTCAATGTGATCCCAAACAAGATTTCCATGAGCAAGTTTTTGAAAGTTCATCATATGAGACTATGAAAAAAAATCTATTTTAATAATGCCAAGAATATTTTATGAAATAACAACAAAGGAGCATTGCCCTTACTGTAAAGCTACAGTAAGCCAGGGTGGCAGTCACAAAAGACAGGCAAATGACACGGAGTAAGTACAGAAACTGGTTTTTTAATTAAAAAAAATTTCTTAGATTTATTTACTTATTTGGGGGACTGTACACACAGCACAGCATGCGTGTGGAGATCAGAGGACAACTTGCAAGAGTGGGTTCTCTCCTTCCACCACATGGGACCCTGGGATCAAACTCAGGTTGTCAGGCTTGGTGTAAAGCACTCTTACCCACTGAGCCATCTTGCCAGCCCAGTCAACCGGTTTTTGACACATACGCTAAAGCGCCTGGCACTGATATCCGACCTAAGAACCGGAGGCGAGAAAGCTCACAGACCGTGGGAGAGAACCTAATATCATTATTCTGCTAAATAGATACAGTATTAAACTGATTTGTACATTAGAGTGACATTACATACATACACTCATATGTATATTAGAGTGAGGAAATTGGGTGGAGGATAGTAAGGGAGGAGCAGATAGGAGAGAGGATCTAAATATGATCAAACTATATCATAAAATTCACAAAATATCAATGAAAAATGAAAAACAAAAACAAATAAAAACACAAAGGTGCCAAAGCTGCTGAGGAAATTTAACTTTCGCAGCTGAGGCTCTGAACAGCGGCTATCCCCAGAAGTGAGACAAGCCAGGTGCAAATGAGTGCATGCTATATTACTCCTTTCTATATTTAAGAATATGCAAAATAATCTCTTGGGGAAGTAAGTCATTGATTGGATTATGGGAGAGGGAAGAGGGACTTGAATGGGGCATAAGAAATTTTTTAGGAGTATCAGAAATTTTCAGTATCTTGATCACGGTAGTGGTCCCCCAGGCCTGAGTCTATCACATTTATTGTGGTATTCAGTTCAAACAAATGCAGTATACTATATGTAATTTACACTTCAATAAAATTGATTTCTAAAAAAATTATTTCTAAAAAGAATGAAAACCAAAGATAAACGAATCAGTATAAGTTACCATTTTGTAACTGTCATATCCAGTGTCTGTATATAGACTGCCTCAAAACTGATGAACAGTGCATGTACATCGCTTTATTCTTTAGATGGTCCAATCATTCGTTGCTTTAGATTAGGATTTTGTGATTAATTTACCTAACAAATCTCACCCAATGTTTCCCAAAGGTTAGTTCTAGCCTAATTTCTCTCTGAGTTATTACAACATCTCCGTGAGTGTGGTCCACATTAATAAAGTTTTATATGACTGCAAAAGAGAGATGTTCTTGATAGAAAAGCACTGGGTGGGCTGGGGATGGCCGTGCCAATCACAGGATCTCCAAGCTTTGATCTAAGGTTGGATCCATTCCAGAAACTGCTGTTCTCCTGCCAAACCGTCTTTATATACACGTTTGCTGGTGAGCGCCCAACTAGGTTGTTTAGAGAGGCAAAACTGAAGTCTACTTGGATGTCATCTCCTTAAAAACTCAAAACCATCTGCGGATACACCCTGATAAAGAGTACAGACATCCACAAGGAAACCCACATGTGCTGAGGACTTTCCCTCATGATAGTTTCCCACGAATTTCTCACATTCATGACTTGCTCCTATTCTCTAAAGTAAATATTATCTTCATTTTCTCCCATTATAGAAACTGATCCTCAGTGAGGTTCAGTCATTTGTCCAGATTCACCCAGCTAATAAGTGGCAGAACTGAGATTTACATATTTGGGGCACTTCAAGTGACATGCAGTAAACATTTTACACACAAAACTGCAGTAAATAAATACACATAACTTTGGGTTCTGGTTGTAATATTAGCCTTTTCTCGTTACTGATAATACCCTGCCCCCCCCACACACAGCTCAAAATTATATTCTTCCTACTGGGCATTTAAATATTGTTAAATGACTCATCTGTCATTTAGAGGGTAGAAACTAATGAAACAGTCACATGACCTTTCAGGGACTATCCCTAGATCTAGGAAGAGTAACTACTTGTTAAGAAAAGCCAGAAATGTGGCAAAATATACAACTAACAAAGGAGCAAGAAACCAAGAACGCTTATATTTAGTAACTGAATAGTTAACAGCGAAGCAAGCAACAAAAACACCGCTTAACCAAACAGTGTTGATCTCAGAGAAAAGTCAGACAGATGCTTCTAATTTGAATGTTTTAAATTGCTTAGCCCAAAATATCACCTACTAAAATATCTTAAAAGTAACGAAATATTAAAGAAATGCACTGATGAACACTGCCTCTGAATGATGATCTCTAGGTAGCTCGTCATCTAAGTATCCATAAGAAAGAGAACACATGAAGAATCAATTGTCAGCCTAACCCAACCATCTAGTCTTCTGCACATCTTTGGCAATTCAGTTATGAACATCATTAATACATAATGAAAGCGAGTATTTGTATTTTGATCTTCAACAACAATTCTCTTCTATCACAAAACCCAAAGCTATGGTATCCTACATTTATTTACTCAGTTCATGGACATAGCCTAACATTCAGAACAGTTCCCAAAACTTAATTCTAGTAAACACAGACTGGAGATGCTCCCAGGAATCACTCCACTTAGAGTACAGCATTTATGTAAGTGGGAAAGATAATTAAATTAAAAATAAAATGCATGTTCAAGTCATCTCTGTTTAGATATTGAGGCTTCTCATTTCCTCCTTCCTTCTCTTGGTAATCTCCTGTGTTAGTGGAGTACATGGATAATCCTCTTGGTAATCTCCTGTGTTAGTGGAGTACATGGATAATCTAATGGAGGTGGTAATGTCACTGTCTGACTCCAGCAGTACTTTCCTTGCTCATGTCTGGCATGAATCTCCAATTCAATCACAAGTGCATGTATGCAGAGAGAAGGGGCACAGCACACAGCTGCCATCTGCTTTCCTCCTCCAGCATCCCTGCAAAGAATAGACAATGGAGCTCCCCTAGAGATGGGAGCAAAGTTCCTCACAGTGGGACCACTAAAGTATCTTTAGGCAACAACACTTGGCCCTAGCACAGGAGAAAGTCATAGAGATACACTGTAATAGCAGATGGGGCCCCCACTGTCAGGATTTACAGTCTAGTCCAACAATTACAGAACAGATCCACTCAGGCCTGTGTGCCTCCAGTCGTCTTGGATGATTTTTGCTCCCCAGTGCCACAAAGACATCACATGTCCTGTTGCCTCACCCAGCCCACAGCATTCATTTGTTTAGGTGCTGGAGCTTACAATACTGCTTAGCACTCATCAGTTAGACATGGTACTTACAGCTGCATGACCAAATACAGGTGATTAGGGCTTTCATAAATATCTTCCAGGGCAACAATGTTTTCATGCTTGATCCTAAAAGGAAAATGAAAGTATACATACAATGGTAAGAACAATTACACATGAAACTTTTTGAAAACAAGAAGTTACAGCAAAGTTATACCACAAAATCCCAACTCCTTAATGACACATTGAAGACTCTCCACCATCTTGTCAAATTTTTTCCCAAACTTTTTAATCAATATTACTTCATTAAGGGGCTAGAGAAAAGGCTCAGCAGTTAAGAGCACTGGCTGCTAAGAAGACCTGGGTTCAGTTCCCTGCACTCACATGGTAGCTAATCACCATCTGTAACTCCAGTTCAAGGGGATCTGATGCCCTCTTCTGGCCTCTATGGGTCTTGCATGCACATAGTGAATAGACATATATGCAAGCAAAATACTCATACACAGAAAATAAAAGTAAATAAATAAATACAATTTAAAAGCCTTACCCCATTAATTCCTGCTCTTCTTCATTACTAGGTCTTTGTAACCTACACTTAGCAATACTGGACTAACGGTTGCTGCTTTACATATGTATCCATGGACCAGATCTCCCAATATTCCATTATTTTGCAAGGCCCAACTGAAATGGCTAAATAGCCTGGGCAGCATAGAAATTCTTTTTGCTGTCTCAACACAAGGACCACAAACTAGTCTGAACATTCTAGTGTGTGCATTCATCCCTCCAAACAGCCTATATATTCTAGAGAACACTTTTATGTTCATGAATCCAGTGTAGGTAAAGGAAAATAAGCCTGACCAACTTCACTGATGTTCATGTTTACCCCCCACCCCTAAATGCCAATTCAGTTTCTCAAATGAACTAGTGAGTGGAAAACCTGAATTCATCTTAGATTAAAAAAAAAATCAAACCATAAGGATCGGCATGGCAAACGACTTCTATTGGTGCAGCAGCGCACTGTTATGGGCGGGTGGGGGGTTATCAACAGCTATCTAATTGGACTTAAAGCCCTCTCAATGGGAGGGAACTCATGGGTGGCACTGTAAACTCAGCCAAATACACATGGCAGGAGAGGACAAAGATCCCAGAGGAAATCCTCTTTCATATCTCTAGGCAAATGAAATTTCTTACTATATGCTAAATATTGATCTTTATATTTACAGACAAGCATGCTATACATCACTCATTAAAGAAACTTCTTTTTGCAACGGATGGAGGCTACTGCATATCTGGTGAGACACAGAGAGATGCCCAGCACTAGGTGACACATCTACAGTTGAACCTCTACAACTAAGGCTGATGGAACATAGTGGAAAAAGGGGTAGAGAACTAATGCATCCCTCAACTCTGATCAGTAAAGCTTCCTTATAAAACACAGTGTGATGCCACAACTGGCCAAGTTTTAAAGAATAAGAGACTGCAGGGTATAGGATAGGACTCTTACACGGAACCTCACAGCTCAGGGACCACTGCAGAAGTGGGGGCAGAAAGACTGTAAGGGCCAGGGATGCTTCATGAACACAGGGAAGCAGAGGCTTTCAGGCCACTGGAAGCTTGCACGTGTGAACTTGTGGTAATGGTGGCATCGAGCACAGGACCCATGCCAGCTCAATTAAATGAGGGATGAGAGAGGAGGAGAGAAATAGGTGGTGGGCCAGCACTAGACTGAGAACTACTGAAGACTGACTGCTGCTGGGTGAGGGAAAGTATGCCTTACTTATGATCTCTAGGTTGGCTGACTAGACACCAGTGGACGAATTTACACTGAAGGACATTTGGGTACAATGCCTGAATAGATAGGACTGAACATGTATGGCAGAATGCATGAGGTCCATTTGCGGGATGGAGGAGGCATGGATGGGGGAGGAGGTCTAAATTTGATTAAGAACTGTTGTATGAAATTACAAAAGGTCAATAAAACATATTTGGATATTAAAAAGATTCTTAAAAATCAATGCATGCTCAAGTCATTTCTATCTGGATACGCAGGTTTCTTTATTTCCTCCTCATTTCCTCCTGTTCATCTCTGGTGTTGGAGATTACTAATGACCAATGGCACTCAGAATGTGGTTCTCAATAGGCAGCATCTTCTAGGAGTTCGCCACAAATGCAGATTCTCAGGATGTACTTGGGTAATACACAATCAGGTCAGAGCCCAGCACTCTGTGTTTTAAGAAGGGTGCCAGGCAGTTTTCGTGCATATATGTAATGCCAGAACAGTATGATAGTAGATCAGTGATTCTCAGGCTTCTGTGTATAAATGAATTACCTGGGGATCTGGCGACAAAGCAGAGTTTGATCCAGTGGATCTGCGGTAGAGACCAAGCATTTGTATTTTTTACTAAGATGCAGATGCTACTGATTGAGGACCACACTCTCAGCAGCAAGTTTCTAATTAAGTTTACCCAAGAGAAGGAAAGATGCAGAGTAAGAACTTACTTTAGCTCCTAGTACTATCCACGAAAAGCAGTTTCTGCTCAGAATGAAAGGTTCAGTACTTAATGCGTTTGAAGGAAGAATCATTTCATTATTCAATGAGTTAATTAGCTCTTAACCACAAGCCTTTTGCTGAAATCACTGCTAAACCATTTAAAAGGAAGATGAAACACGGCGATCCTTGTGAGCTCCTTGAGACAGACTCACACCGTCTTGTCTCCCCTTTGTGCTGGAACAGACCTGTTTCATAAATATTTGCTGAGTGACTAAATGTTTATATTTAAAGGTCATTGCTTCTAAACACCAAGAAACAATATTCCATACCCACTTTGTGAAAATAGAGGGAGTTTGGGGCTGGAGAGATGGCTCAGCGATTAAGAGCACTGACTGCTCTTGCAGAGGACCCAAGTTCAATTCCCAGCACCCACATGGCGGCTAAGAACTGTCCTTAACTCCAGTTCCAGGGGAATCCAAAGCCCTCTTCTGACCTCCACGGCAATGCAAGACATGGGTATCCTCACATACATACAGGCAGCACACTAATACACATAAAATAAAATAATAAAATATAAAAAAAGAAAATGGAGAGAGTTTTCTGGAGATGTCTTCCTCTGTAGAAGAAAGTTAAAAGGTAGAAAGAACAAGAGAACTCTCTCGATTTTGAGTTGGAAGAAGAGAACAAGGTAATTAACTAAAGGTGGCAATGTTCTGCTCTAACTGATGCAACTCTTATTAAATGTGGTTGTTTGTAGAAGCTGAAATAATTACAATAAACTCACCTGCCTCTCATGCAGAACACCTACATATCTATCAGCAGTGGTTACTGAACCAGTCAAGCAAAATAATATTAACAATAAGTTATATTGGTATATTAAATAAACTGTGTCACCAAATAAATGGTGAGAACATAATTGGGGACTGCCAAGATCCTAGATATTTGTGGAATTATCATTATTGGATATTTGTGAAAAAAGCATGATCACAGAAATTATGTATTATGTGGATTTTTTTCCTTCACAAGAGGACAAAACATTTTATTTAGTCAAGTTAATTTGAGATGGCAGAGCCTAGATTTATGAGAAATTGAGAGAGATGGGACTAGGTGGAGACTGCTGGGTAGACTATTGGACACATAGTAACATCTGAATTCTAGAAAACAACAAACACTTTTTTAGCATAGGTACATTTCAAATATTGTACTATTGTCCATCTGAGATTTACATGTTGCTGGGAACCTTACATTTTCATGTGTTGAATCTCATCATCCTATTTCCATGAGCCCCTAAACTGAGTAAGCCTGTGGTCCTAGCCAAATTTGGAAGTTGAGCTGAGAAGGCTGTTTGAGGCCGAGAGTCCAGTCATTTAATAGTTAATACAGCTTTCACTATATACAAAGACAAGTGTGTACAAAGCATCTGCCTGGCCAAAATGGAAGACTCTGATAAAGACTACAATCACTGCTCTGGAGGCATGGGGGTAGAGAACCTGCTGTCTTAATCAGATGCTGACAGAAAATTAACTTTCATATCCATTGGCACATTCCAGAGAAGAAATACAGATGGCAGTGACAAACCAAAATGAAAATGGTTGGAAGACAGTGTTTTACTATCACAGTGCTCACTGTCACAGTGCTCACTGTCACAGTGCTCACTGTCACAGTGCTTACTGTCACAGTACTTTACTATCATAGTGCTTACTATCACAGTACTTTACTATCACAGTGCTTACTGTCACAGTGCTCACTGTCACAGTGCTTACTGTCACAGTACTTTACTATCGCAGTGCTCACTATCACAGTGCTCACTGTCACAGTGATTACTGTCACAGTGCTCACTGTCACAGTGCTTACTGTCACAGTACTTTACTATCACAGTGCTTACTATCACAGTACTTACTATCACAGTACTTTACTATCACAGTACTTTACTATCACAGTACTTACTATCACAGTACTTTACTATCACAGTACTTTACTATCACAGTACTTTACTATCACAGTACTTTACTATCACAGTACTTTACTATCACAGTACTTTACTATCACAGTACTTTACTATCACAGTACTTACTATCACAGTACTTTACTATCACAGTGCTTGCTAACATAGTGCTTACTGTCACAGTGCTTACTGTCACAGTGCTTACCGTCACAGTACTTTACTATCACAGTACTTTACTATCACAGTACTTACTATCACAGTACTTACTATCATAGTACTTACTATCACAGTACTTTACTATCACAGTGCTTACTATCACAGTACTTACCAT